GCCATTTGGACTAACTAATGCAGCTCAAACCTTTCAGCGATTTATTGATCAGGTTGTTAGAGGTTTGACAGGGGTATACGCATATATCGACGATATATTAGTAGCTAGCGCTACCGTCGAAGAACATCTACAACATCTACGACAGTTATTCACGAGACTTCAAGAACATGGTGTCACTATTAACGTGGAGAAATGTGAATTTGGAAAGAAATCATTGCAATTCCTAGGTCATATGATAAATTCTCGAGGTATTATGCCAGTTCCAGCAGAAGTTGCTGCTATTCGCAATTATCCGTTGCCCGAGTCACAAAAAAACTTACGACGATTCTTGGGACTAATAAACTACTATAGGCGATTTATTCCAAACTGCGCAGCAATACTACAGCCATTAACGGACGCTTTGCGAGGAAATACCCGAACATTCCATCTATCGACAGAGGCTATACAGGCTTTTGAGAACGCTAAGCGAGCACTTCATGAGAAAATGATATTAGTTCGACGAAAGAGCGAAGCGCCACTAGCCATCATGACGGACGCATCGAACATAGCAGTAGGAGCTGTACTGCAGCAGTTAGTAAACGGTACATGGGAACCGATTTCATTTTTCTCGAGGAGATTAAACCCTACACAAACGAGGTACAGTACGTTCGGAAGAGAACTATTAGCGATTTACTTGGCAATCAAACATTTCCGACACATGATAGAGGGTACCATTTTTACAGTGTATACAGACCATAAACCCCTCACGAAAGCATTAAACGCCAAGCAGGATAACTATTCGCCGAGGGAAATTCGACAATTAGAATTTATTTCCCAATTTACTTCTAGCATACAGTATATTGAAGGTAATAATAACGAAGTGGCAGATGCGTTGTCCAGAACAACGATAAACGCGATTATTACAAATGGAATTGATTATCACGGTCTCGCGAAGTTACAAGAGATAGACATCGAACTAAACAAGCTAAGATTCGATGACACGACGTCATTATTATTCGAAGATATTCAGTTCGGCAACGCGAAAGTAATATGTGACATGTCAACTGGCCGACCTCGCCCATTCATTCCTAAACCATTGCGACGGAAAGTATTCGAAAGTATCCATAACCTATCGCACCCGGGAATAAAAGCCACGATGAAATTAATCAGTGAGCGTTTCGTATGGACGAAAATGAATCGCGATATACGAAATTGGACGCAAGCATGCATGAAATGTCAAAAAGCCAAAGTACATCGTCATACTAGTTCGCCGATGGGTTCGTTTTCACAGCCAGACACTCGATTCGAACATATACACATCGATATTGTGGGACCACTGCCAGTTTCGAACGGGTACAACTATATTTTTACATGCATCGATAGATTTACCCGATGGCCTGTAGCGGTGCCAATCAAAGACACCTCAGCCGAATCTGTAGCAAAAGCCCTAATCGAGAATTGGATTTCTCACTATGGTATACCGGCAATTATCACGACCGATAGAGGAGCTCAATTCGAAAGTCGACTCTTCCAGCAGCTTACAGAACTCCTCGGAATTAAACGTATACGAACGACATCCTACCATCCAATGGCAAACGGAATGGTTGAACGCCTACATAGGCAGTTGAAAGCATCCCTTACATCTGTCATTGTCGATAACGATTGGGCTAATAAGCTTCCTTTAGTCATGTTAGGTTTAAGAACAATAATTAAACAGGATATGGGATGTTGTCCAGCCGAGTTGGTATATGGAACTACTTTACGTTTACCCGGAGAATTTTTCGCTTCAGGTAAAAGTGTTCCGACTGATGTAGCCAACTACGTCCAACGCCTGAAGAAACACATGAGCGATTTAAAAATAGCACTTCCCAGACTACAACAACGTCGAGTATTCGTACCTCAGCAACTACATAATAGCACGCACGTATTTATCAGAACAGACAACGTACAACCACCTCTGCAGCCGAACTATGAAGGTCCATTTAAAGTGATTACGAAGACAGATAAGACAGTCACGGTAGAAAAAGCTGGGAAGACAGACGTAATCAGTATCGATCGTGTGAAGCCAGCTTTCATCGATAGCGATTTTCAATCGACAAGCACAAGCCTCTCGAAGACGATCACACCTACGAAACACGAATCTCAGGAGTCAACGACGCTAACGCACCAAAACGAAGAGACTCCGATAACGACAAAATCTGGTCGCAGAGTAAGATGGCCGCAACGTTATGTCGCTACAATCTTTTACTGATAATTTTCTGCTACTTTGAATATTAATTATAATTCTTCCTCTTCATTGTATACATATGGATTATTAAGTTCATGTTATACGCTATTAAACTTGGCACAGCTTATGTACACCCTTATGCTCATACGTGTAGTTTTTTTTTTCGAAGCGATACCATATCCCTTCTATTTCTTACAGCTATTTTGTATAGCCTAACGGACGGGCACGAACTAAATACACACTAACTTCATTCTAATTTTATACAGGCCCATATCTTCAAATGATTGTAACTACGCTATCCAATTTACTGTACATTATGCAAACACAGACATTTTTTTATATATCTTTGTTTGCAGGGGGGAGTAATATAGCAACCATCCTACAATCAATTTCGATTATAGCCAATTTTGGTTAAGCCCTTTTTTATAACTTACTTAACAGACATTGTCATTTGGATAGTAACAATTTGCATATTCTTTGCACTGCAATAACACTAGAGCACATGACACTCCAGCCGAAATGTTGACTGCTTAAATATCATTCGATGACTCATACTCCTCCCCATATATGTACGCACACAAATATTATTATCAGCCTTTGTTTTGCTTTGCTGTGCCCTTATTAAATTTGACTATAAATTGCCTATGTAATTGCTTGCTACTCTCTCGCTCGCTCGCTTGCTCCTCGTTCGTTTCCTTCGCTTGTTTGCCTGTTCACTCGCTCGTTCATATTCGCTCAGGTGTTGTTAGCTTTCGAACCTGAGTCATTCGACAATAAACTGTAGTTGCTGCTATCCTTTGTCTTCTGATTTTACGCACCGTTAAGTTTAGAATTATAACGGTTATCGAAGTAAACGGTTAACGAATCGCGGCACTACAAGTCCACCGTGGATAAATAAAGAAGTTAAGAAACTCCTTAGGCGTAGAAAAAAGCACTGGAATATGTTCATCTCTACTGGCTTAGAACAGTACAGATCTAGTTATCGTAAGATTAGAAATAATTGTAAAGCGTTAATTAGTAGGTCTAGACGGTCATACGAAAAACAATTGGTTAGGGATTGCAAACATAGTCCAAAACGGTTATTCTCGTATATAAAGAGGCGAACTCAGAGAAGTGATGGAATACCATCACTTTTGATACAAGAAAATCCGTTAAGTTTGGCAAGAAATGATACCGAAAAAGCTTCCACTTTTTCGGAATATTTCAGTAAAGCTTTTTCTACCAATAATGAGGAACGATCACCTATTCATTGTGATTGTGGCAACTTGTTGATGGACCCTGTAGTTATTAAGAAATAAACCGTTTTAAGCCTACTCCAGCATCTCAAACCTGATAAGTCTAGTGGTCCTGATGATATTCATCCTCGTATTATGAAAGCCCTATCAGATAAAATTGCTGAACCCTTAGCGATGCTGTTCGATATGTCCAGATTGCCCAGAGACTGGAAGGACGCAATAATCAGTCCGGTGTATAAGACTGGGGTAGGGATTTAGTTAGTAACTATCGACCTGTTAGCTTAACTAGTGCAGTTGTAAAACTAATGGAAAAAATTATTAGGATGGCTGTTGTAAACTATGTGGAAGGGCATGATCTTTTATCCAGGGAACAACATGGTTTTCGGAAAGGCCTATCATGTTTGAGAAATCTTCTCATTGCAAGAGAAGATTGGGCTGAGGCAAAAGATCGTAATATTCCTGTAGATGTCATTTTCATAGATCTAAGTAAAGCCTTTGATAAGGTTTCCCATTCTGGTCTTAAATTGAGACTAGAAAGTTTTGGAATTCATTATGCAGTCATAGACTGGATAAGTGACTTTCTTCATGAAAGGAGACAACGGGTAAGAGTAAATGGGGCTCTCTCATCGTGGGAACCAGTAAAAAGTAGCGTCCCCCAAGGAACGATTTTAGGTCCTGTTCTCTTTTTACTTTATATAAATGAATTACCAGCTATAGCTAAGTCATCCGTCCTACTATTCGCCGATGACATTAAGATTTGGAGACCCATATATAATATGTCAGACAGAATAGTTTTACAGGAAGATCTTAACTCACTAGTTGCATGGATGAATGGGTGGTCACTAGAAGTAAACTCTAATAAAAGTGTTGTGATGCAATTAAATAACTACGATGATTCGTATCACTACACATTATGTGGACTAGTGTTGCCCAAAGTAAGAAACTATAAAGATTTAGGAGTCATACTAAGTAATGATCTCAAAACAACCAGTCACTTTAAGGCTGCTGCTGCAAAAGGCTATAGGGCATTATGGTCTATTCGTAGATCTTTCCGGTATCTGAATGGGAAAATGTTTAGATTATTATACCCAACTTTCGTGCGATCACATTTGGAATGTGGGATTCAAGCAGCGAGTCCTTGCTTCAATGTGAGGTGGATATGCTGGAAGGAGTCCAACGCCGCAGGACAAAAATGGTAAAAGGCCTATTTGACTTATCTTATGAAGACAGACTGAGACACCTCAACTTATTTCCGTTATCTTACCGGCGAATACGGAGTGATCTAATATTGGCATATCGTATCCTGAACGATGACCTTGGTACTAACATGTCCTATCTTTTCCTCCCGTCTAGGGCTGGTCATTTGAGAGGACATTCAAAGAAAGTCCAAAAACCGAGATCAAATGGTCTACGTCTGGAGTTTCGTTTCTCGCACCGAGTAGTGAATTACTGGAATTCTCTACCAGAACACGTAATATCAGTACCTTCTGTTTATATATTCAAGACGAGATTGGACCTCCACAGTGTAACAAACTGCAAGAATTAAAATAGGTCACTAGACCTCCTATCCTTATTACTGAAGGCTGAAGACTGACCATAGAAGAGCCCGGATTACTTTTCCTCTGTTGACATTGGAGAAAAACTAAATGTAATTATTAAGCTTCTTGCATCTTGACACTTATCTGTGAGATTAAATTTATTGAAAAAACTGCCTACGTGATAAGCATTGGGATATTATCAATCTATACTGTTAAACCAATTCAATGAATGCAACAAACATTAACTTTTTAGGCGGCTTTTTCACGTTTTCTGCCTAAACTCGCGTTCCACCTTGACATTGTAAGTATTGTAACTCTAAGTTAGAATAGTCACCGGACCTCGCTATTGTTTGATATAATTTATTTATCTTCATGGATGTATTCCTATATCTTTTTATTGACAAACTAATATATACTGGAAAATATGTAATACACGTGGATGATATATTCTTTTTGATACCAAAAATAATTGTCACATCGATGAGATATTTTCTGAGGCTACTATGCTCTTTACCGAAAAAAAGAGAAGGGAAAGTTATTATGTATTTCACTACCAAAAGGAACTCTTCATTGTTGCATTTGATGACTTATACCACTTAAATTTGTATGATACTAAAGTATCACAAAAATTTTGAAGAACATTTTCTCTAATAGATTGGAAAAATAGCCCTATTTTAGCTTGAGCTAAACCAGTAGTAATCTGCTTCATTTAGTATTCTTTAAACATCCAGATGATATGAATGAAGTAGAAAGCATTACTTATTCCGTTGTAGCAGTGAGATTTTCGAAATACAGCATAAAATCCGTAATTTTGTACACGTACGAGTACCGTAATTGTTCATAATACTATTCTGTAATTATGTTGCTGATTATCATGTTTTTTAGCCATGTTTTCCTCACTAAACTTATCGATTTCAGAATGAAATGTTAAATACCCACTTGGTTTAGAGGTTATTGAATTGCAAAAAACTTTTTTCAGTTAGATTCTTATCCCCAGTAAATACCTTTCTTAGATAGCTGGTATATGGTTATTATAAATGGAAAAGAGTGAGTTCCTACTTTTATTTTGTTAACCGATTTATTATCCAACTAATATGAGTAAATTTTCCTTTCCAATTTTAGATCTAAGTTATGATATGGTTTATGCACCAACGAAAATAAGTTTTAGATACTAAAAGCTTTCTGTTACAAACATATCCCGCCAATATTCATATACTATTGTTCTCTATCTGGAACGCTAAGCAGAGTTACATACTAAATGAATAAAACTGACCCACTGTGTGTACAGCTGTTAAAAAGTTTAATTCTATGCAGCGAAAAAGCTGCTGTCATAGCTCGTACAATCAAAAGGCAAACTAGCATCTTTCAAGCACTTGTACAAGTGAAAGATTCAACTGAAGCTAATTTAAGATTTAGCGTAGACGTCAAAACTTTGGCCGATGTATTAATTCAAGAAGTTGTGAAGTACGATCTAAATTTACTTGTAAGTTATGCTCACTGATAACGCTATATTTTATTTTGTTCCTTCTTGATACGTTTTCAAGTTGAAGATCAAACAGTTTATAAAAATCTACATTTTGCTAATAATCGGACAGCTTGTTTTGAGCTAAAGATCTTAAAATTAATTAGCTTTTCGGACATATAAAAGGATGGCTTTTCCTATAAGAATAATGTGAACTTAACCCGGTAATTAGAAGCATTTGAAACTATTTGCTAACTAAAGATTCCCGAAATAGTGCAATTTAAGGCAGGTAGAACTAGATGAGCACAAATGATTGCAGTATTTTTGTGATTCGTAATGAGCACGCAATCAAGTACGAAGAAATTATTAGTTGGTAAAAATGCCACACTTAATTAATAACTTTCGTAAACTTTGGATACTTTCCTTTGCCATTACTTGTTACGATCACCTAAAATTGCATATATTTGAAATGGTTTTCGCATAACCGAGCTTTTGTAAACAGAACAAACACCTATTATTCTTTTTGTATCTTCGGCATTAAATTACTTTCTTTCGATTGAAGAAGGCAATTATAATATAAATGCGCATGCTTTTTTGTTATGAATAACGCATTTATCAATGCCCACTATGTACTCGATGTTCAGTTTCGTTTCTTATTATCCGATATCTGGCTATTATTCTAGAAATTTAGGGAGTTATTTTATGGCTATTAGTTTGTTATTGTTATAATAGAACTTCCCTTCTTCCATAAGTAAATCTATCTAAACCAGTGTGATTCGATTATTTGTCGCTTATATAATGTTTGAATTACTTATGTCTTCACTTTTGGGGAATCTGTCCTTTTTCATCACAAACTTCATAGTTAGTCTATTGCAGAATAATGTGATACTGCTTACTTGGTGACGATATCAGTGTAAACATATATTTTGTTATGGTTCTCACACTTATCTTTTCTCCTCTTACCTATGCTTCAGCACGATGAAACCTTAAGCGGTATATTGCGGGAGAAACTATAGAAGCACTTAATGGATCATGAAGGTGATTCCCACCCCACTGCAGCTTCACATAATATTCGAGCGATTGTGAACACAGTGATTATATCCACCTACGGCTTAAACCAAAAGACTAAAAAATACTAATGGATTTTGGTGGTATCTATCTCGTCGATAAGTGCTCCTAAGCTCATCTTTACAAACTTTAAGTCCTCTGTAAAGTAAAGACAGTCTAAAATTTAGGCGGACTAAAGTTTAAACAGCAATCATGAGCAGTGATAGGAAACAAAGTCGGAAAAGATCGGAGAACGATAACAGTAGTTAATTCAAGATGAAGTTCATATTTAACAAAGAAAGAGCTCATTAGAAGTTAGATATTCAAAGAACAGTCCAAGGGCACATGCATATGTAACCCAACCACATAAAACAATAGTTGTATTACTCAAGGGCTATGTTGAATATTAAAGGGAGTATAAAATATAGCCACTTCAGTGCCACGTGATTTTCTAACCTAAATTGAACGAAGAAAGATTCAAACCTTCAGCCTGATTATTTAACTTCGAGTTCTTTGACCGTTATATCAACGCTCCATCATTAACCAAAACTGAAAAATATCGTCGTTCATCTTTCTTTGATTTACCGGAGCAAAGTTTAGTTATATTACACAATTTTTATGTTTATTAGACGTTGTAACATCATATATTAATCTTACACAAAATATTGACTTTAAAACTTTCAGTTTCCTGGATTCAATGATTCAGTGTTTGGTGAAGAAAATAATCGTTTTTCTGGCAGTTCCGGTAAAACAGTTACAATTCAACTATCCTCGAAAGAAAATCTTTCTGATCTTTTAGGTAAGAGCGTGGCTTTTTTCGTTACATTTGTATAACTGTCGTGAAATGGGAAAACATTTTTTCGTGTAAACATTGTAATTAATGAAGAGCACGCATACAAAACAGATGCTAAGCATCAATAAATTTTCGATGATAGCTTTTTAAGTACTGACCTACCCTCATTTCAATAATCACTCAAGTAGCTGAACGCCAAAGTTCTTTGGTAAGTCAAACGCCATTTAGATTATGCTATAAAACAAATCAAAGTACAGTAGCAGAATAATTATTGTTTAGATCTAACTCAGCTGTTCATGAACACAGTAGTAGTTTGCTAGTTTTGTGCAGTTTATACCTATTCTAACCGTGTGTACTTCCAAATAAAAGCCTTTAATGGTAGATATCACCTGATAGTAGATTCATATTTTTTTCGTCTGACTTCTGAACTCAGATTTTATCTTTGGAATGTCATGTTTGTACAAGCTATTGAATTTCTGACCAGTTTATATCTTAGAGTGATTTCAGCTTGAGACGATTCAAAGCAAAAGGAAAAGAGATAGCTATTTCGTTGCAGAATGGTTTTTCACAGAGGTACCTATCGGTGACCCCTCTAAAGACAGAATAATTGATTTTCAGGCTTGCAATTTTTCTATACATCCTTAAATTTAACTCTCTACTAGATTCATCACTTTGAAAATCGTAATTACATAAACATGTTAGTCACTGTTAATAGTTATTTACATCATATACACAGCAACTTTTACTAAAATTTATGACCATAATTGGATTCATCTTTTTTTTCCCTTGCACCTTTCAGTTGATGTTTTAGGCAACGATATAGATTTTGCAAATCAATTAAGTGAGATTTGTTTTCAACCGCTAGAATCATTTCAAACACAATTTTCAGTGCATAATATTTGGGAAAATTTGATCTCCAGTTGTAATTCATTATTTAAAATAACGGATACAAAATATTGTGATATTGAAGCATTCGGTGTATGGATTGATCCAATAGGTATGTGTGATTACAATTACTTTACTTATTCTATAAAGTTTTCATGAAAAGTCCACTTTTAGTAAGAGTTTGCAAACATTAATTAATTTATCTATTTGAACACATAAATATTGGCACAAAGAAGCACCAGATACATATGCGGCACACAAATTTCATTTGATTTGTGTGAGCGCTGTGGTACTGTCCAGGTGCCCGAACTGAAACAGTTGGTTTTCTTAGGGGACCACACCCGGAGCCTTTGACATAAAGGTTTGACCCACAAGGCAGTGGAGCATCGTGAGGAGATGCAGTCCCATAATAGCCGGTCACCAACGATTTGTTCATACACCATTTCTTTCTTTAGAATACTGCAGCCCATGTGCACCATTGGTTTGAAATGAGGATTTTTCAACTCCCCTAGGTGGACTTTCTGTGTCCACCAACCCGATGAAGCGCCAGACATTCGCTTTTCGTCCTCTCAATTTCATAAACAACAGTAATGACACGAGAAAACAGTAAGCAGGACTTCCCTGTCAGAGGTTACATACACGTCGTCATGTGAGAACATTTGGAGAGGGAGAGTGGACTCTCCCCACTCTCGGCCGTACCAGGGCATTTGAGGGCGCAAACATTAATGCTAGGGTGTAGGTACTTTAGGCTAAGTCCAAAATAAGGTGAGACTTGTGTCTTGAATTCTACAGCTATCCAAATACCAAACATTCTAAATAGTTCAGTATTGTTTATGTTTATTTCTTCGGGATTTTTAAATTGCGCATTTTGCAAAACTTATTTGTTTAAATAAACAGATCTTCGTGCTACTAACTTGAAAAGGGAAATAATAACGGTTCGATCGGTTGAAAACTATGACGGTTTATTTCACTTTATCGTGTTTCTTATCATTTGTTTACAATCTATAATATGTAAACATCAAAAGTTATTAATGAGCTTGGTTCGATGTTAATACCTACACATATTATCATGATTTAAGAATATCCGAAATAAATAAAGAATTAGAGTAACTCAAGTACCACTATGGTAGCGTGTCAGAGTATCAAACTGAATATACGAATTCAATCCCCCATATAAAGCATCAGTTCCCCATTGACTGCGGCTACACCTTGCTGACAAATGCTAGCTAACACGAAACCTAGGTCATACAGGGTTCTGTCACTTACTTTGAACTATCTAATATCATCTGAACTAAAATAAACTAAATATCAATTATTTATGTTGTCGGTCACTGTAACTACTAGTAATCATAACCTCATCCCCTTTATTTTGTATGGCTAGTAATTTTCTTCTTCAGTCTTCTTCCTCTTATCATTGTTTTGAACATCGATCATTACTTCATTAACTAAATTCCGTCAGATCTTTATTATAAATATTACTTCAGGCTATTTACAAACCGTTAATAAGATTCCATGAAACGGTGTGATGAATCCATTTTATTCTGCAAATCTTGATATTCTTGATCTAATTAAACTTATCAAGGGAATATAATGTAAGAAAAATTACTTGGATTCTTGTTACTTAGAGCCTACTTCATCTATCCAAGTACTTTAGTGTTCAATCATTATTTTTATTTTGAAACATTGCAAGTTATAAGCAGCTGATGATGATGATAATGATAGATATATCGAAATAAAATGTACCATCATTTTAATTCACCAATCAACTTCTTGCTTTTACTCTAACAATTAATTAATCAGGAGGGGTTTTTGTGGAAATTTCAGTATTTTCATAGTTGAAAGCATGAGCCAATTGAAGCTAGACCACCAAGGAAAACCTAGAAGCGCTGGACGGCTGTTTCGTCCCATTGTTAGACATTGACACCATCAGATGCTGGCTCAGTGGTCTATCGGTCAAGTGCTCTGGCGCGAAACTGGTAGGTCCTGGGTTCGAATCTCGCGAGACGAGATCGTGAATGCGCACTGCTGAGGAATCCCACAATAGAATGAAACGGCCATCCAGTGCTTCCAGGTCTTTTTTGGTGGTCTAGCTTTAATTGACTCATGCTTTCAACTATGAAGATTAATTAATCAACTGTTAATTGCTATAGAACAAAAGTTTTTTGTAGTTCGAAAATATTGCCTCTCTTTTCATTAGAAACGTCAAAATGCACTAGGTTAAAGATAATATCAAGTTTATAGGAGTCAGGTAGGATGAATTTTCCATCATGGATTCTTTTGTTATCAATATTATAAATATAAAATATGTCGGCGAGACTAAAGAACATGGACGAGCCAATCAGAAGCTTTCGCGGGTTCTCAAGGTCACGGCGCTAGGTTCAGTACCTGACGCTTACGTACGGTCGGTTTACAAAGGATTTTAGAGAAAACATGATAATTAAGCGTCTACAGGATAAGTTATCATAAGATTTTGGCGCAAAATTCAATTATATATTTGGATTGAGTTGTGGCATTATAGCTGATGTCAGTTCGTGACTAAAACCCTAAGTAAAATTCATAACCTTAACCATGAACTGTAAATCATAATTTGAATTCTTCACACGCGTTTATAACCCTCATTTAGTCTTAGTTATTACGTTGACACTCTCAGATTCACTCTAGCGTCGCTCAAATGTCGTCCATAATTTAGTCTCACCCTTAACCCTTAACCGTAACCCTAAACCTTAACCCTAATCCTAAACCATACCGACAACACTGAAACTATGTGGTCGTGGCTGAAAGAATTTTCGGGACTTTATCATGGTTCCAGAGGTCGACTACTATGGAGCCACAGGGATGAGTTCCTGTGCCGGATGCACTGTGATTTTAGAACTTCTAAACCTATATCTGACCTTGATAAGTTTTTGATTCATGTAAAAGAACAGTATCCTCTTTAATTTTTGAGTTTTGTATAATATATTTTTATTGTATGCTAACTGTCTTCTGATTGGCCAATATTACTCAAGGTCATTTATGATTCGTTCAAAGGTCGTCCATGTTCTTTAGTCTCGCCAATATGTCTTTGAAAGCTTAGCAAATGATTTGATGGAATACACTAAACTCGAATTTAAACAAAATATAGTATAAAGTAGTAAGCCTTAAATGATAGTTTTTAAAGATCTGACGATATATAACACTGTTCAGTTGTCTAAACTAATTTAAGTAAATACAATCTTTGATCATTGATCAATATTTTGTACATCTGTCGTCGTCATCATTACGTTAATGACTTGTACACATGTCGAGTAAGAATAATCATTCATAGTACTGTAGTGAACAAGAACACAAGTGGAGACAATCAAACGTATTTAAGCACAAATTACAGACTGTCTCATTAAATTCTGATAACCATACAGTCAACAGTTAATTTGCAAGCTATCAATCAATTGTCTCAATCTTCACTGTTCCTTCTGTAAATATCAATCCATCTTCTTTAATTTCATTGTTTATGCATTTTCCTACCAATTGCGGTTCATTTCAATGCTTTCCTCATCCACCTTCTGCCAAAATACATTCTATGTCTAACCATCACCATATTACTACTTATGTGGATATAAGTAGACCACACCACAGTACGATAACACTGTCTGTAATGAAGGTTCATTCAGTACTAATATTCATTTGTACTGGTAAATATCTTAATCATTACTCTCCCTCCAATTGAAGAATAACCTTACTATTCATATAATGAAACACAATATTCTTTAAATGTCAATGATTCCCACTGTGAAAATTAGACTGTTTTCAATTAGATTGTCATCAGACTTTATTCCTATATACATGGATGTTTTTATGAAAGTATTCAACCAATCAAGACAATTTATATATCAATGATCACAATGAATTAGATTGGATAACTAAAATTTAAAGGTAAACAATACAAATTGATAACAAGAAGATAGATGTACTAGTAGTAATTGATAAGTGTTAGTGGGAAATAAACCGGATTAAGACACATTATGTGCATAATCGTGACGGCGCACACTGATTGACTAACTCTAAACCAATTAGCTCTGGCAGATTATTGGACAAGCATCTAGAAGCTTCTTATGAATATACTATAAATATATGAACGTTTTTCTAGCGATTGATTGTTGTTCACCTACCCTTGTTATTTTGAATAAAATGTCGTTCCTGTTTAACGTGTTCTGATTTTGGGGTCTTGTCGAGTGTCATTGTAAAAGAGCACTAAGCAATAGGAGTAGCTGGGTTGTTTATTAGCAAAACAATTATATTAATATTATCAGAGGAGGTTTTGTGGAGATTTATTATTTTCATAGTTGAAAGCGTGAGTCAATTGAAGCTAGACCACCAATGGAAAGCCTGGAAGCACTAGACGGCCGTTCTGTCCTATTACGGGAATCCTCAGCAGTGCGCACCCTTGATCCCGCACTTGCGAGATTCGAACCCAGGACCTACCACTCTCGTGCCGGAGCCCTTAACCGATAGATTACTGATCCGGCCGGCATCCAACTATGCAAATACTAAATCTCCACAAAACCCCTTCTGATAATCAATATAATCATATGCTCACTAGTGACTGACTTCAAGAAGTAAATCCAGGAGTTCTAGTGAGAAGCAGTAACCAGTGGAGTTCAAACCACGTCTGTTGTGAAATAGGAACTCACTGAAGACAATTGGTGAACGGTCTCTCAACTTCGTGAATCAGTTGGAGTTAGACATTAACACCGTTGGATGCCGGCCGGATCAGTGGTCTATCCGTTAAGGGCTCTGGCACGAGACTGGTTATAGCAACCATCTACAATCAATTTCGATTATAGCCAATTTTGGTTAAGCCCTTTTTTATAACTTACTTAACAGACATCGTCATTTGGATAGTAACAATTTGCATATTCTTTGCACTGCTATACCACTAGAGCACATGACACTCTAGCCGAAATGTTGACTGCTTAAATATCATTCGATGACTCATACTCCTCCCCATATATGTACGCACACAAATATTATTATCAGCCTTTGTTTTGCTTTGCTGTGCCCTTATTAAATTTGACTATAAATTGCCTATGTAATTGCTTGCTATTTGCTCGCTTGCTCCTCGTTCGTTTCCTTCGCTTGTTTGCCTGTTCACTCGCTCTCTCGCTTGCCGCTCACTCACTCGTTCATATTCGCTCAGGTGTTGTTAGCTTTCGAACCTGAGTCATTCGACAATAAACTGTAGTTGCTGCTATCCTTTGTCTTCTGATTTTACGCACCGTTAAGGTTAGAATTATAACGGTTATCGAAGTAAACGGTTAACGAATCGCGGCACTACATGGTATGTCCTGGGTTTCGAATCTTGCGAGTGCGGGATCGTGGATGCGCACTGCTGAGGATTCCCATAATAGGACGAAACGGCCGTCCAGTGCTTCCAGATTTTTCATGGTTGTGTAGATTCAATTGACTCATGATTTCAACTATGAAAACAATTATAACAATAAGAATAACAAAATAACAACATATCTAGGCAACAATTCAATATAGAATGTAGGTCAAACTTGAATAAACAAACTTATAACAATAATCATAAAATGTTAAAAGTACATTATAAAAAATGAGTAAATAAATAGATAGTGAATAATATAAGCGAAGTGAGGTAAACAATGACAAACAAATATGGGATATGAAAAAATCAATAAAACCGTTTATTAAATCGTATCCGACCCAGGAAGCGATAGGTTAGTCATGAATTTTTTCTGAACACATAAATTAAGTTCACTTAGTATTGTTTGTTTGGATCTTCCCATCGATGTGTTTAGGACTGAAACTGGTCAGTCTCTAATTGGCATATGTGCATACTGTGCGTATTGCCTCGATATACCTTAATTCACAAGCATGGTAAGCAGAGATGGATAGTGGCTAGCAGTGGAATCCAGGACGCGCGTTTCGTCCTATTTGGGACTCGTCAGCTGGATGTACCTGCCTTTAGGCTAGCCTTTAGGTTCGGATCCCTATAGCTTCTGTTGTATGTAGGAGATAGAATCAAAATCCACTGGGTAATGATGAAAGTATATGATAGATCACACGAAACAGTTCACTTTTATCTACCATATAACTACTGTCAATTAGGTGTGCCGAGATAGAGCTATGTATCTTTTTTATCTGACCCTTTCCAAACCAAGCTGGGAGGTGTTCACTTATTTGTTAGTTAAGTCGCGTAGTGGTATACCTAATATATTTACCTCCCTAGGAACAAGCTGAATTTATGGATTCACAGTGAGGAGGCAAACTTAGGTAACATACCCTTCGTTTGATTAGATATCACTGGTCTACATGAAAATGTCAACGCAAGGTTGGCTGCGTAGAATGTCCTATTAGCTTCCCTCGTTAATCTATCATACAGGAAATCGCTAGCCACATCCCCGTTGAATTTTAGTTTTAAGAATAGAGGTTTCCTTTGAGTGGTCAATATCCCTAGCTTATTTTCCCCAGATAAATATGCTTCTCTTAAAAAGTTCCTGTATAACCGATCTCTGTCAGAGTTATTACTAAACTTCAACTCCTTTATGATATCATCAGATATCTTTTTTCTCTGCTTATAAAACATCTAGACAGATTTCCTGTAGTGGATGAAAGGGTAACTAGAATGGCAAACAAAGAAGCTCTTTCCATGCACGCTTCTACTTAACGAGCAGTCAACACATCGATTCTTACTCCACTATTCATAAAAATTTACATCATATGTCTTATCTACTAAAACTTTACAACGGTACATATCCAAGAATCGATTTTATTATAAAATATGAAAAAAGAATGAACTCAGATGTCTAGACGTCGATAAATGGAGTAGAGTAGATGAAATACATCACGGAAATACATTCATTGAAAAAAATTAACGGAACAACATTTATTTAATTTTATCTCAACATAGTGCACGCAGTGTCTAGCCACCTAGACTAGTGGCCACATTGCAACTTGATCGATAGCATTCGATTAGCACTAAGAAGGACTTGACACGCATGACATTGATCATCACCCAGTGATCAATCAATTGTAATCTTAAACTTTATTTACGATAAATGATTTCCGATCAGCAGTGGAATTAAGGATAAAATGTACATTCCATATTTCACTTATACCCATAATCCATCTTTTCTCTATAACAGTAATTAAATAACATGTGACATTGACTATACTGAAGCGATTCCCAACAAATTTAGTTACGCTAACAAATACTGATAGAGATCTAGTCTGGAAATTCAATAACGCGATTATTCATATTCGATACCCATAATAGGATGAAACGGCCGTCTAGTGCTTCCAGGTTTTCCATGGTGGTCTAGTTTCAATTGACTCATGATTTCAACTATGAAAATACTAAAATATCCACAAAAACCCCTTCTGATCAAAATTATATGCCATACTTGATGTTCAATTTCTCCTAAATGAACCTTTACTTGACAGAATACATATTTTATTCGAAGCATAATTTAAAATATGGATTCATAACAAAAGATGGATGGCTTAGGAAAAAAGAAGCTATTCGTCACTCATCTCCTAACAGTAGTACTAAAAAAGATTCAGATTAGAATATTAAGCTTAAATCCGACAGATGGGTCAATAAATCTTAGGAGTCAGAAGGGGTTTTATGGAGATTTCATTATTTTCATAGTTGAAATCATTAGTCGATTGAAGCTAGACCACCATGGGAAGCACTGAACGGCCGTTTCGTCCTATTATGGGACTCCTCAGCAGTGCGCATCCACGACTTCGCCTTGCGAGATTCGAAACCAGGACCTACTAGTCTCGCGCCAGAGCACTTACCCGATAGACTGTAGCGAGCCCATTCAACTACTGTATTTTTTGTGTGCTCTCTGTAATCCTAACATTAATCCACTTTGTAAATTTATGTGTGAGTCTGATTGAGCGCATGTGTCTGCACATCAATCCTTATCCTGTTCTCTCATTGGTTGTAAACAAAGACAATCAATAATTTATCCACAATCCATTAACACTCATAAATATATATGGATTTTTAACACACACACACACACACTGGTTTTCCCTGTGTGCTTGCTATCTGTACGCTTGTGGATTTTTTACCGAGCTTCAACAATAAACTATTTCTACAACTGGTGTTCAGGCTTTTGAATAATCTTGAGTAGCCCTATAATTCTTCTAAGAGATTAAGCCTGAATTAAATATTCGGTTAACGGGATATTATTTATTTATTGGAGTCACATATAGAGGAATTAATCCTCTACAAGACCACTGATCCGACCGGAATCCAACAGTGTTAATGTCTAATCTCAACCCCTTCTGATTATAATCATATGCTCACTAGTGACTGACTTCAAGAGATATTTCCTTGAGTTCTAGTGGGAAGCAGTGACCAGTGGAGTTCAACCAGGTCTGTTGTGAAATATTAACTCACTGAAGACAAGTAGTGAACGGTGGCTCAAACTTTGTACACCTTAGAAGTATTCCAACGATTTTTTTTGCAATATCCTATTGATTTGTCTTCATTATAACTTTTTCCATTTATAAATCTAATCAGAGTTCATATTTCAACTTTTTCAATACAGTTGATGAAACTAACTAACTTTAATAAATAGAATACAACAGTACATTCATTGATATCTTTTTATTGCTTAGCCTATCGTATACCCTGATGGTGTTCTCATAACTTTCTGGTTGCCTGATTTGCCAAAGGCGATGGGTCAGTGCATGACAGTATTGTTGTGTACTATGTTCAAAGCGAATTATTTGCTATATATATGCAAATCTGCCCCCATCATTGTTCCTATTGTTTTTATTTATTATACTTCCCCCCCCTTTAAAAAAAAACTTTTTTTATAGACTCAACAGCTGATTATGCTCAAGGTCAATTCGACAAATTCCATTTCACCCCACCTAATACTTCATCTACTACATTATCTGGTACAGAAGCAGAAAATGTGAATCAAATTCATAATTTTTTTGAAAATCCAACTAGTCTCATTCGTTTCTATCATGGTAGCCTTATCAATGTTACCATTTTATTAGGGTTATTTGATTGTTCTACTGGTTTACCATTAATTGGTGTTATCAATCAACCATTTTATCTAAATAATAATAATAATAATGATAATACGTTAAATGATGGAATAAAGTAAGATTTATCATAATGATTATTTTGTGTTACTATTTGATTTATTCATGATTATTAAATTATTGATTGCAGTAAATAATTTTAAGCCAATTGGGTATAGATTAGATAGAAACTTGTTGCAGCAAAGATGAATAGTGGCTAGTGATGAGACTCGATTGGGATCACCGGATAAGTAATAGTGAGGTTAGACACAGGGTATTAGGGAATGATTGTAAATTAGTTGATGAGGTGATGAATCTTCATCGACTGAGACAGTTAGGCCACATGTTCTTACGTATGCCTGAACACCGATTACCACGACGTGCTATGCTGACTAATGTAGGGGATGATTGGAAAAGAGTTAGTGGCGGCCAAACCAAAACATGGCATCAATGCTTGAAGTCACTAACTTCTAGTCTGAATCATGTTGGTAGATGGAGATTACTTGGTTGGGGTCTGCATGGCTATCGTAACCAAAGGTTGGAGACAATGTGTGATATCGATCAGGTTCAATCACAATGGCGTATGTGTATATACTACTTATCTTCCCTTAAACCTTGAGATTATAATTCCTTCATATCTGCCTTTCTTACTGTTCTATATTCTCATATACAATCTTTGTTTTATATACTACCACCACTAAATTAACTACTTCTATGAATCCGGTATTCATCTTGTGCTAATGAGGTGTGGAAACTTGGACCGATACATATATGTGCCTGGTCCTACGTTTTAGCTGACTAACTGGCTGACTGAGACTTGAACCCAGTACTGTTCGCTTCAAACGCCATCGCGTTATTCACTCAGCTACTGAGTCCTGATAGCCACTTGCTTGTGCATTGGGATGCGATGGCGTTTGAAGCGAAAGGTACTGGGTTCAAGTCCCAGAGTGAACATCAACTCTGAGATGCAGGTATATATATATATATATATATATATATATATATATATCACTGATAAATCGATTATGATATAACTTAAATGAAACAGATGGATCATGGGTAGCAGTGAAATCTAGTAGGCTCATTTAATCCTGTTCGAGATTCATCAGCTGGATGTGTGTGTACTTTAATATTGATGTTCAGGATGCACGTATACCAATAACGTCTAAACAAGTAAAGTCTTTCATATCAACTACGGGGAAATGGTAACCCTTTCAGATATAATTAAATAACTTTCCCCACATTGTCTCAACTATACATCAATGGATTTTAACTCTACCAGTATATTATCCTCATCAACAGCTAGTATTCAATCACATATGGTCACTGAATACCTTTAACTCGAATTGAACAACTACGGAAATCCTTATACTAATAGATTGTATATTGTACTTTAACTGTAGTTCATTTCTGTTATATCGCGAACTTAGATTTCTTAGTCTATCGCATAATACTTGAGCACTCAAACGCTAGAACCCTCCCAAGTCACAAATCAGAAGACAGAAGACAAGTAGAAGGAATGTTATTCCAAACAGTGTCGATTATAGTACACAATTGTCAGGTATTTATAGTTTTTAATAGAAACGAATTCATCATTATAGCACACAGGGGGTTATCAGCATTGTCCAATAGGGAAGCTACACATAGTGATTCTAGAATATTCTCCCCAAAGCTGATTGGATGGAATATGTCCGGCTCCTTCTGGGCTTCTTAGAGCTTCCTTGACTTCACCTGTGGACCATCCTCACAATTTCATTTGTTTCATCCACAGCTATTAATTAAAACTTCATAGCTACTTTGTTCTAGTATGATATGTAAAATGATTTTAATAATAATTATCCTAAAATAAATTTCATTTTGTAATCAGATTTATCACCAATAACTCTAATAGTCTATTGATGATACTATTTTACTCACTGACCTTAAATAATGAATGAGTTCAAGTGATTGTTAATGATTGGTGTAATGTATATCTTCCCTTTTTTTAATATAACTGTTATTTAACGTTTATGAAGACTTTATTCATTAGCATACTATTATTTTTGAGTCGGTTAGTTCCTATGTCAACAACTAGAAATTATCTCCGTTTATTAATTGTTTGAAGATAGTCAGCAGATAACATTCAGGAAATCAGTCACCGTTAGAATACTTGAGTGATAACTTCTCAAATTTTAAAAGTGACGTGAGTTCCAGCATCACAATAGGCATCATCTTCCTAAAGATTACAGGTATACTTTGCTGGCGACTGTTGATTAGCACAAAAACTATGTCGAATAACTCCGATCACGTAACATAGCATTTACAAACATTATTATTTGTCAATTAGTTAGTTCGGCGAGACTATAATTTATGGACGAGTCAATCAGAAGCGTTTGAGGGATTTCAAGGTCATGGCGCCTATTTCAGTACCTGATGCTCATGTACGGTCGGTTCACAGAGAATTTTAGAGAAGACTTGACAATTCAGCGGCTAAATTAAATGAAACTACTAAGAAGTTGTAAAGGTGATTCATAAGTGACATGTATGTAATTTTTGTTTGTATGTGTCCACTGTAAATGATGAAAAATGTCTGACCTTTGTAATGACAAAGGATAGAGTTAATTTGTAATGTAATGGTGTGAAATTGTAAATAATATTAAACTGGTTGACCGCAATGAAATGACATGATATTGATTTATTCAGACTTGTTTTTGATTGATCACCTAATTATTATTGGATTGTTCCATTGTACTATTTAAATTTGGATTATTGTTAATTTAGTTATTTATTCTCTGAAGAAGTGGCTTACACTGAGTCACGAAACGTCAGAAAATCTAATTTTTCTACTCATTGGGATATTACAAATATATTAATTTCATTATAACAATCTATCCAATGCTCAATTTATTCAAATTTATCAAGTCAAAACTTGGTAATGATACCTACTAAACAGTTGCTGTATTTGTAATTACGAGTATTAAATGACTTGTAGACCTTGCGCAGACCACCATGATGTCCTTCGATGTAATATATGTTGAAGGAAGACGTTTGCTAGAATAGGAATCTTTATCGCTCTATCCAGATTGAGACTAAGGCATATTATAATAATTGCCGCAGACTGTATAATAAATGCACCAGTAACATTGGCTGCAATAACCGCAGATGTTACTGAAGCTTCGGCTGTGCAGTAGTATGAGTATTGTAGGGACATATCTATAATAAAAGTCGTAAACTTACACAACCGGAGTACACACAAACAATAATGAAGCTATATGGTCTAGACTCAGAGGGTTTTTATGACCTTATCATGGCTCCAGAGACCAACTATTATGGAGGCATAATGGATGAGTTTCTCTACTTTCGCATTACGATTTCGGAACCTATGAACCTTTTTCTAACCTTGACAAGTTTTTGGACCATATAGAAGAAGTGTATCCACTTTAATTCTTTGGTTTTTTATAATATATTTTTACTCTATACTGACTGCTTACTGATTGCCTAACATTTCTCAAAGTCACTTAAGATTCGTTCGAAGGTCGTCCATAAGTTGTATTCTCGCCATTAGTTCTTGTTGTAATGATTTCTTAGAATTAACTTGATTTGAATATAATTTCCATTCTGAACTCTTTAAAATTATGGGCACAATACTCAGAACTTTAAGGTTATTTTCAGTGAACATGTTACTTTTATACCAATGAGTCGGATTTCATTTAACTTATTTTGTAACAGACAACTTCGTAAACTATTCAAATGCAGGTACATCCAGCTGACCAGTCCCATATAGAACGAAACTCGCTTCAAACTGGATTCCACTACTAGCCACTATCCATCTTTGCTTATAATGCTTGTGAATGAAGGCTATATCGAGGCAATACGCACAGTATGCACACATATGCCAATTAGAGACTGACCAGTTTCAGTCTTAACACATCGATGGGAAGATTCAAACAATCAATACTAAATGAATTTATTCAACTTAGGATCAAATCAAAATTGATCCTTTTAAGACACTATTTAATTGATCTCAATGTATATAGTATTACCTAAATTCACTTTAATTCTTCATCTTTTTCACTCTCTCTCTCTCTCTCATTTTTTGATTTAGTTCATTATATAATTATGGACGAATATTTTGGGGTTTCAATTTTATTGATTCCGCGGATTCTTCATCTATTACTAGATCCTCAAATAATTGTTCTACTAGAACTTTATTGAATCATTTAGACAATTTAAACATACCGAAATATCTACATTTTCCAGATCATTTTTTTGATATTCTATGTCCAGATCAAGTATATAATGAAGAAAAACCAATATTAAAACTTGCTTGTAGTTCTGTTGAATTTAGTCGTTTAACTAATTTATTTCATAGTAAGTTTATTACTTAATTTTTTTCTGGTTGGCGTTTGTTTTTTTAGCGAGTTGTGATGGGATCGATAATCCCATGCCAAACCCTCCTCTTTTATCCAGGGTTGAGGGCGGGAGTAGCCCCCGGAGGAACTACAGGCGAAGTTTTTATACTTAATATTATTGATTAATTTATTGAACTTTGTTTTCCTACAATTTTCAAATATTATCATAGAATTGGATGGAATAAGTATTTACTACTTACTCCTTCTCCATAGTATCTTCACTAAAATCAATCATTGATGAATACAATCTACAGATTCATTTATTGTTGATGATGTAAATATAATATTACGTACTTACTTACTTACTTATGCCTGTTACCCCTCGTGGTCGAGCATAGGCCGCTCACTAGCATTTTCCATCCAACCCTGTCCTGGGCAATCCTTTCCAGTTCCTTCCAGTTGTTATTCATCCTTTTCATATCTGCTTCTATTTCTCGGCGTAATGTATTCTTTGGCCTTCCTCTTTTCCGCTTCCCTTTTGGATTTCAAGTTAGGGATTGCCTTGTAATGCACATTGGTGGTTTCCTTAATGTACTTCCTATCCAATTCCAACGTCTTTTCCTAATTTTCTCATCAGCTGGAAGCTGGTTTGTCCTCTCCCATAAAACGCTGTTACTGATGGTGTTCGGCCGATGACTGTTGAGTATTTTGCGTAAACAACTGTTTATAAATACTTGTACCTTCTTAACGATGGATGTAGTAGTTCTAAATACAATAGAATGCTGATAAATTACAGCATATAAAATCCATTGATCATATATACATACATACATAATCATGTTTCTAATAATCTTCTTCTAATCATTTATTTTATTGACTAATAATGATGATATTATTCACTTAGTATTGTTTGTTTTGAATCTTCCCATCGATGCGTTAGGACTGAAACTGGTCAGTCTCTAATTGGCATATGTGCGTACTGTGCGTATTGCCTCGATATAGCCTTAATTCACAAGCATGGTAAGCAGAGGTGGGAAGTGGCTAGCAGTTGGATCCAGGACGCGCGTTTCGTCCTATTTGAGACTCGTCAGTTGAATGTACCTACATCTCAGAGTTGATGTTCTCTCTGGGACTCGAACCCAGTACCTTTCACTTCAAACGCCATCGCGCTATCCACTCGGTCACTGAGTCCAGTCAACTCTGAGATGCGGGTACATCCAGCTGACGAGTCCCAAATAGGATGAAACGCGCGTCCTGGATTCCACTGCTAGCCACTACCCATCTCTGCTTACCAATGTGGATATTATGTTTAGTAAAATACAATTAGAATTGAAGATTAAACAAATATCTAGTGAGAAGGTCATGGGTTTTATTTTTTCATTTGCCCTTATCGATTCATTAAGTCAATTCACTTTTTTTGATGGGGGTGGGTGTGGGGAGGGTATAGAAAACTTGAAAATAACTAAGATTTAAGTCAATTCTAAAGGAAAAAAATGATTCTTTCATCGAAAATTGTTCTCATTATTTGTTTCTGAAAAGTTATTCATGTTTCAGTAGCTTGTAGGTCATTTTTAGGAATTATGTTATGTTATTTCGTTCAAGTAAAAGAAAACGTTTTATCATCAAAATGATCCATTATTGAAACAGGTAGTTTTCTCAATAAAACAGCTCAGTAGTAAGATGATAAATAAATGTTTAGATGGTGGAGATTTAAAGCTCAGGTGGGTGATTTTGATGGAGTTTTTGTTCTCTGAGCTGGATGGTTTGGTCGTGGAACTTTTATCGTTCTTCTGAAAGACATTATCAGCGCCCGAAGTTTGTGCTGATGATGTCGTTCGGAAGGACAATGGAAGCTCCACGACCAGCCATCCAGCTCAGAGAACAAAACCCCATCAAAATGTTTAGGTTGAAATTAATGACTCAGTAGTCTAAAGGTTAAACGTTAGCGTACGAGACCGAAGGTTATGGCTTCGAGTCTCACTTACGGGACCGTGGGTGTGCACTACTGAGGAGTCCCATACTGGGACGAAACTGCCGTCCAGTAGTTGCAGGTTTTTACTGGTGGTCTAGTTCAAATCGATTCATGAATCCAACTATTAGAATCACTTCAATCTCCACAAACCCCTATTCTGATAACAATGGTCATTATGAATTGGTGTCAGCTAAAATAAAATTAGAAACTATAAAACACTAAATTACTGTCTCTTCTTAAATTATTACTCATGAACATTGTACATTGACCAGTGTACATGGAATAAAACTAAACTCATTCAAATCTTACATCGAACAAGTTAATTATGAAATAGAATCTCAGATTTTCTAAACATTTTTACTTAAATGATCAATTCAAGTAAACAGTATTGTGTTGTAAGCAAAGATGGATAGTGACTAGCAATGGAATCCACGAAGCGCGTTTCGTCATACTTGGGACTCGTCAGCTGAATATACTTGCATCTCATAGTCGATGTTCACTCTGGGACTCGAACCCAGTGCCTGTCGCTCCAAACGCCATCGCGTCATCCACTCAGCCACTGAGTCCTGATAGCCACTTACTTGTGCAATGCGGTGAAGTTTAAATTCATTTAGTATTGTTTGTTTGAATCTTCCCATCCTGGATTCTAATGCTAGTCACTATCCATCGTTGCTTACAACGCTTGTGAATTAAGGCTATATCAAGGCAATACACACAGTATGCACATATGCCAATTAGAAACTGACCAGTTTCAGTCCTAACACATCGATGAGAACTCAATGTATCAAGTCACTTGTAAATTATTCACTACAGATAGATATGAACATCCTTTAACTTACATTTGAATGGATAAATGTTAAATATCTATATCAGCTGATTTACTTATCTAACTCAATATAGATAAGATAATGAATGAATATATATATTTAATTAACTTAAATTAAAATATTCATAATGATGATTATATTAATTATGAATATCATGTGGACACTTACATGTATGTATCATAGTTCAAATTAATTTTACATTTAGGAATCAGATGATCAATATAAGATCCATTTTAAATGGATGAAACAATGATAATAGTTGGTCTTTAATTGTTTCACCATCTATAAAAACTTATGGCTAAATTTGAACAAATAGTTTCATAGGAGTTGGGCACTGAGTTAATGTATGACAGTGAGGCAAATTGGTTCAAACATTTTCATGGAAATATAATCGAACATTAAAATTATCAATTATATCTAGGCATACGGTTCTCCAGTCCATTATATTACTAAACAGGTCATCTTATCATATTAAAAATATTAAAAGTAAGAATTTCCTGAAGTGGGTATGAGAAATCTGGTGTGTAGAGACGTATTAAGATAACGATTGTATTTATGTGTGATTGGATTTGTGGTAAGAGCAAAAATTCCGTTGACTACATATCATCTATGATGCTACAGACTCTAAAATGTAAACTAGGACCTTCTCTATGGTTCTCTCCATAACCAAAAAAACTGTAGTCCTTGTAGATTTTATAGGCTACCAAAAATTCATAAGACAGATATCCCATTATGACCAGTGGTTGATTATATAAATCCACCTACGTTCAATCTTTTTAAATACCTAGCTAATATTCTTAAACCATATGAAAGCAACAACATACACCAATGAAACTACACTTGACGGAGAAGCTTTGGAGGATGTGGAAACATTTACATATCTGGGCAGCATCATTGATGAACACGGTGGATCAGATGCAGATGTGAGGGCGAGGATCGGCAAGGCAAGAGCAGCATATTAACAACTGAAAAACATCTGCAACTCAAAACAATTGTCAACCAACACCAACATCACAATTTTCAATACAAATGTCAAGACAGTTCTACTGTGTGGGCGCGAAACCTGGAGAACTACGAAAACCATCATCTAGAAGATACAAGTATTTATTAACAGTTGTCTACTCAAATCACTTCGGATCCGTAGGCCAGACACTATCAGCAACAACCTACTGTCAGAGAGAAAAAACCAAATTCCATCCAGTAGAGAAAGAAATCAAGAGGAAGCGCTGGAAGTGGATTGGGCACACTTTGAGGAAATCACCCAATCGCGTCACAAGACAAGCCCTCGCATGGAATCCTCAAGGCCAAAGGAGAAGAGGAAAACCAAAGAACACATTACGTCGAGAAGTGGAGACAGACATGAGAAGAATGAACAAAAATTGGATAGAACTAGTAATGAATGGAGAGGACAGAGTGGGTTGGAGAATGCTGGTCGGCGGCCTTTGCTGGATTGGGAGTAACAGGCGTAAGTAAGTAAGTAATATGAAAGCAAAATAAAGTTAGGGATAAAAAATTCTAGTGAATTCAACATCATCATTACTATTCACATGGTAGAAAATGAACTGATGTTAAGTTTACCAATGTTTCTGTTAGGAAGACTTTAGATATTGTATATAATCTCTTAAATTCTGAAACTGAACTAAACCAACGATACTCATTAAGTTCCTCAGATATTACTAAAACTGTAGATCTATGCTTACGTCTCACATATTTTTAGATTTCAAGGAGACTTATACAGATAAACAGATGTGGCTATGGGATCACCAGTTTCTCTAATTGCCGAAAAAGTTACACAATCTTTTATGGATATTATTTGTAATGAATAACCCAACGTTCAAACTGTTCTATTACATTCATTTGTATTGTTTGTTTGAATCTTCCCATTGATGTTTTAGGACTGCAACTGGTCAGTCTCTAATTGGCATATGTGCATACTGTGTGTATTGCCTCGATATAGCCTTAATTCACAAGCATTGGAGACTGACCAATTGGATAACGCGATGGCGTTTGAAGGGAAAGGTACTGGGTTCGAGTCTTAGAGTGAACATCAACTCTGAGATGCAGGTAAATCCAGCTGACGAATCCCGAATAGGACAAAACGCGCATCCTGGATTCCGCTACTAGCCACTATCCATCTTTGCTTATAATGTTCTATTACATCCTCATATCAGTTCAATGTTCATATTTCCTTATACCGTTTGTTTCTTTCTTTTCCCTTGTTTTGTTGTTTTTATTTATATTATTCCCACTTATTATTATCATTATTACTATTATTATTATTGTTTAGACTATAAAGATGCTAATCAAGATTTAGTTAACGTTGTTTTCTTGTCATCATCTGGAGCTGGTTTTAAACAATTATGTGTAATATTAGATGAAGTGGATGCATTTATTTTAATGGAAGTAAGTAATTCTAATCATATTTTTAATATATAATTTACTCTTATCTTTGACAGTAATACCCTAAAATAATCAATTAGTTGGTTAGTGATTAGAGAAGTAGAATCTGACATTAATGTGAATCGATTTAAGTTTCCATACTATATTGAAACAAATTCCAGAGTAGTAGAAGTAGTCACAGTGTTAGTGGTTATAAGAACATTTAGGCATAGACAATGTAATTCAATAAGAAAGGATTGATTTATAGAATAAAAATTATAAAATATTTTTAAGACCTAAAAGAACATAAAGACAGAATGTATTTGACCGCTTGTGATTGATTATGAACCATGTCACTCAACTTTTCGAATTACTAGTTACGATAATCTTTAGGTCCGCACTTACATCTCAGTTCATCAGTTAAGGACTTCATGTAGCGATATGATATTCTGTTTTCCCCACCTCTAGTTTCCTTCAAAGTAACTTCTATACCACCTTTCATCAAACATCGAGATAGATAGTTAGTATTAGATATATATTGTGCTTCAAGGATATGATGGGAATGAACAACTAGCGGGATTGTTTTGGGACGATTACTCTCAACAGATAAACAGTGATGATAAATGGTTGCTTAAATCTCATTGATTTAAATGGGATACTTAAAACAAAAGCCACATCTTTACTCTATGATAGATGAGTCCTAAACGAACCAACACTACATTAGAGAAAGAAAAAATAGGTTAGGGTCATTTTGATTGTACAGATAACATTCACACTTCTATGCCAAATTTCTAATAGACTGTAGCAATATTTTAGGAATAATAAGAAATCATTCCTAAACTCTCCAACTCATGATACACAATGGTTGGTCTGTACTGAAGCACCGCTTCATAACAAACAATGAATAACTTTAACAAATCACTTGCTTCATTTATCATGAAATCTGTATTACACTTCAGTGTTTGTCTATCAAAAACTCTTGTTATAGAGACAAAATAAAAGTTTTATTTTGTGTCAGACTACGCTTTTTTGGTTAAAGAATATTTTCATAGTTGAAATCATAAGTCAATTGAAGCTAGACCACCATGGAAAACCTGGAAGCACCTGAAAGCTCACTAGTGACTGACTTCAAGGGATGTTTCCTTGAGTTCTAGTGGGAAGCAGTGACCAGTGGAGTTCAACCACGTCTGTTGTAGAGATATTGACTCACTGAAGACAGTTGGTGAACAGTTGCTCAGATTTCGTGGATTGGTTGAAGTTAGACATTAACACCGTTGAATACCGGCCGACTCAGTGGTCTATCGGCTAAGTGCTTTGGCACAAGACTGATAGGTCCTGGGTTCGGATCTTGTGAAGCGGGATAATGGATGCTCACTGCTGAGGAGTCCCACAATAGGACGAAACGGCTGTCCAGTGCTTCCAGGTTTTCCTTGATGGTCTAGCTTCAATTGACTCATGATCTCAACTATATAGTATTCTACTGACCTATAATTATTTCATTTGTGTATAATACAAAAGCCATTTTTATAATTCTCTTATTTATTTATTTATTACCTTCATATATATATATATATATAGCCAAATACATTCGTATGGGATACCTGTGGACCTCATACAATCATCAATTCATTAGGTGGAGGTGTTATTCAATTAAAATCTATATTAAATTCTATTAAATTATTAATACAAAATCATTCAAATAATTTAGATATAATAATACAATTAATATTGAATGATTTACATAAATATCAAATACAATATAATATATTGAAATCATCCGAAGAGAATCGAGTAAGCGATTGTTTGTTTTATTATGGTCATTATCATTGTTTTCTTTTTAAACAAAGATTAAGAGTAGTTAGGAGTGGAATCCAGGATGCACATTTTGTCCTATTTGGGACTCGTCATCTGGATGTACCTGCATCTCAGAGTTGGTGTTCACTCTGGGACTCGAACTCACTTTAAACGCGATAGCGTTATCCACTCAGCTACTGAATCCTGATAGCCAGTTGCTTGTGCACTGGGATGCAGGTTCATCCAGTTGACGAGTCCCAAATAGGACGAAACGCACGTCCAGGATTCCAGCACTAGCCACTTAATTAAATTCATACTAATTGTTTCACATTGATTACTCATACTTTCTGGTTAGCGTTTTTTTTAGCGAGTTGGTTTTTCTACGGGATGGGATCACTAATCCTATACCCAACCCCCTTCCTTTATCTGGGGTTGGAACCGGCAGTAACTCTAGAAGTGCTACAGGCGTAATTTTCATATTGATTACCTATCCTTATATAGCACTAAAGAGACTAGTAGTGAAATATTTGTAGACTCTATGTATTATTAAGTGATAATTACTGTCCCTCATATATGACTTTGATAATTGCCTCTTTCCTGAGATTATAGGACATGTTGCTAGTATCGTAAACTAAATATGAATTCAAACAATAGTCATTATTACCTATCTCATGTTGATATTCATTAAACTACTTAGTTTAGTAAAGTTTACACAAGGTATCAAGATACAAAAAAACAGTCACTGATACTTTTTACCAAGTTTTTGTTGTATATCTCCAAAAATATTTCACTTTCAAATATATTAACTGGATTACCCAGCATAAAACAGCTTAATTACTGAATTTCTGAACAATATTTGTTAGTAGAAGCTGTTTTTACAGATCCGCTTGCACTAACAAAAATCATGTGCTCATAAATAAATAGCTACTAGAAGTAATTCTCGTAGTTCTATTGAGAAACATTGATCAGAATAGTTCATTCATGTTGTATATATGTAGTTGGAACCCACTAATGATATTACACAATATCACAAACTTATTGGAGCCAGAAATGTGAAACACTGGAGGTGAATTAATTTTGATAGAGTTTTGTTCTCTGAGCTGAATGGTTTGGTCGTGGAGCTTTCATCGTCCTCCTGAATGACATCATCAGCACAAACTTCGGGTAGAAGTGAAGTGTTACAATTTCTCCACATGTGATTCACAGCTTATCCTGTACACCTCGATATTGATTGGTTCTCGTTAACCTTAAATCTGTCATTCTTTACTTCTTTGTTTTGTTTGTATCTCCCACTGATTTGATTTTTGTTCCTATGTTTGTGCATAATTTTCCTGATTGATTGATAAATTGGATTGATTTCAATGTGCTTGTTTATTACTGATTGACCTGAGTGCCAAACTTCTAAAAATTATTTGGTGTCGTTCAGAAGGACTGTGAATGTCCCACGACCAAACCATCCAACTCAGAGAACAAAACTCCATCAAAATCATTCACCTAAGCTACAAATCTTCTCCACCATCTCAAAATCATATCAAGTGAATTAATGCTATAAGACATGAAGGTACTTAGTTTGATCACTAGTAAAGGTATGGATTCATACTGCTTAAGTGATCCAGTCACTCAATCATCATTAGTTTTCAACAGTTGTTTAACTAAACTCAGTTTGTAATATAAATCATAGTGTCACCATTTCTTGTTGTTGACCAATTTTTTTATTGTTCACTTTCTCTCTCTCTTAAAATCTCCACCCCTTTTTGTTCATCCCTTATTTTCTTTTCTCCTCTCCTTTTTTTTTATAGACCCTTAATTCAATCAATCTTTCTAAATGTTGTAATCGTAATGGTTTATTAGCTTATCGTAATCCATTAATAGCTAGTCAAATTCTTCTACATATTGCATTAAATCAAAAATAGTTTACATAACAAGAATAATATTGAACATTTAACAATGGACATATACACTTACACAAACACACACACACACCTATAGATGTACATAGAAACAACTGTGATACATTTTCTTGAATCATAAAATAGATCATTATCCATTTTTTTAATCCATAGAAACAAAGAAGATTAGTAAAGATTAAAGGAGTAATATATTTTATTTATTCATTTCATTCCATATAAATAATGAACAATATATATATATATATGTATCATTATTGATTTTGGATTATATCCCTTAATCAAAAGAAAAAAAAATTAAACTTATTATTGATTGATTATTAATTGATTATCAATAATGGTAATGCCAAAATAAATCAGAAAATAAATTCTTAAATGATGATATTCAACAGAATTCTAATATATTTATAAATCAATCAATCATTGAATGATTGAAATCAATATTTAAAAAAATCAATATTATAAGGAATGATCAATCAATCATTCTATATATATATATAAGGTTATGCAGGTTTCCCCGTTTTTGTGTTTTGTTCCAATTGTTTTTTTTTTCAAGTTTTCACATTTATTTATTTATTTTTGTTTATTGTTATGATTAACAAAAATAGTAGTACATGGTGATTACCCTAATAGATGACCTATGGGTTTTAGATTAGAACCCTGTAGTAGTTATTACTTTTTATTTTAGTCTAGACAATCAAATTACATTACTATTTCTCTGATACATAGAAACAATATTACTCATAATTGAATAAATAAATTACTATTTGGTAAGTGAATTACATAACATGAGGAACGATAGTATAGTGTGATCTACTTATATCCATATAAGTAGTATATGGTGATGGTTAGACATAGAATGTATTTTGATAGAAGATCGATAAGGAAAGAACTGAAATAAAGCGCGATCTGTAGGAAAATGCATGAACAATGAAATAAGAGAAGATGAACTGATATTTACAGAAGGAACAGTTAAGATTGAGACAATTGATTGATAGCTTGCAAATTAACTGTTGACTGTGTGGTTATCAGAATTTAATGAGATAGTCTGTAATTTTTGCTTAAATACATTCGATTGTCCCCAACTGGCGTTTAGTTCACTACAATAGTAGCAGCGATAGTGATAACAATAATAACAGTCGTATTGAGTTCACTATTTTATCACAATCCTTTTCTTATCTTTATAGTTCTGGAAGAGACAAATGAATTATACATGTGTGTTCTTATTCGATTAACTTCTTGTTCAACTACCGAGTTATTTATTTATTTTTTATACATAATGATAATGATTGATCTGATATAGTTCAATGATTTATTATAATTCATATATATGTCATTAAATAAAATGTATATTGGTTCAGCGAAGAAAACCTTTTCCAAAATGTTATTTAGATAATCAGAAGGGGTTTTATTGTGGAGATTTCAGTATTTTTCATAGTTGAAATCATGAGTCAATTGAAGCTAGACCATCATGAAAAACATGGAAGCATTGGACGGCCGTTTCGTTCTAGTATGAGACTCATCAGCAGTACGCATCCACGATCCCGCCTCGTGAGAGTCGAACTCAGGACCTACCAGTCTCGCGCCAGAGCACTTAACCGATAGACCACTGATCCGGCCGGAATCCAACGGTGTTAATATCTAACTTCAACCAATCCACGAATTTTGAGCAACCGTTCACAGTTATATTTATACATAATTGTGAATTATAACAATTTATAAAATAGAAAAAATATAGCGTCATTCAGTAAAGTTATTTGGTAAGCACTATGGGGTTTGTGGAGATTGTAGTATTTTAACAGGTGAATTAATAAGTCGATCTACGCTAGAACATCATTAAAAACCTGTAAGTATTGCATGACCGTTTCGTCCCAGTGTGGGACTCCTCAGCAGTGCGCAACAACGATGGCAGTTTAACTTGGATTGACTCGTGAGTTCAACTGTTGAAATACTGTAATATCCACAAATCCCCACACTGACAATAATCATGTTTTCAATAGTGACTAGCTTCAAAATGGATTTCCTGAATTTATAGTGAGAAGTCATGACCAATATTGTCCAATCTGTGTCGGGTCGAGACAGTTATCCACTTCAGATAATAAATCACGAATCGAGCAAGATCATGAATTGATTGAAGTTAAACATTAACACCGTTGAATGCTGGCTCAGTGGTCTAGAGGTTAAACGTTAACGTGAGAGATCGAAGGTGTTGAGTTCGAGTTCAACATGTGGAATCATGAGTGAGCACTACTGAGGGTTCGTGAGGTAGAACGATTATTTTGATAAATTTTACCTTAAATTATTTAAAACGTTTCAATACAAGAAGACACAAAAGGTTTCTACTTGTTAGTATATATAGTAAATAAAATTTTTTAAAAATAATCTGTCATCATTTCAAAAATACATAATACATAAAATACATAATACGTGGATGCGCACTGCTGAGAAGTCTCATAATAGGACGAAACGGCCGTCCAGGTTTTCCATGGTGGTCTAGCTTCAGTTGACTCATGCTTTCTATTATGAAAAATACATATGTCGATATTCTCTGATTGAGGTCAGAACGTGGGTGTATTGTCAATCCTAGGGTTATTTGCATAGAACATTCATAAATTTAAGTTTACAGTTGTACATAATCAATAAACAAAAAGATGTTTATCATTGGATGATATATATTATGTAAGGAAAAAGATTTATCCATTTGTGTTGAATGTATCTTTCTTTTATAAACTACCACCACCACTAAATTAACTACTTCTATGAATCCGATGTCCATCTTGTTGTTCTAATGAGGTTATGGCAACTTGGATCGATGCATATGTGTACCTGGTCCCACATTGTAGCTAACTGACTGACTGAGTGTATAATAAGTAATAGTAGTAATAATAGCAATAATAATCATAACAAGAGTATTACTGAGTGAAGCTAAACAAACGTCTTGTATCTCATGGAAAGCTACAAATAAAATATACCAAAAATTTGTAACTGAAGATAGTATTAAGGCAGTTACTAAGAATTTAAATATGCCAAAATAGACTGTGTTATATCCTAGGGAAGACATAAGTACTGGTAACTCCTAGGACCTATTAATGGACTATTATTCTATATATATATTCTTATTGTATAACTGTTCAGTAATTAGATTATGTATATCTATATTCATCTTACTACAAGCTTCATTTTGACCTATAAATTATTACTGTACAATTTACTGTCCCTAAATTATATTCAGTTTATTGATTACTGTATTCCACATTCACAGTCATATTTGACTTGATCTTGTACAAATATTATTTTCTATTTTATAGTGTCATGAGGTCTGTCTGTCTAGTATATAAACCGAGTATGCTTGAAATAAATGATTCGTATAGAGAAAGCTGTAATTGATGTTTTTGGACTTAATTAGAAGGGCTAGGCGGACGAAGGATCAATAAGAACGCTAGACTGCTCATACCAGTTGAACGTCATTGATTTGGCACAGTGTGAAGATTAGACGATTGGCAGATAATTCACGTGATAAAAACAGGACATAAAATCAATAACGAATCAGCATACGTTCTATATTCTTTTATAAAGTCATAACAGACTGATAAATTGCAATCATTTAATATTCATAAAGGAAGAACTTAAAACCTTGAATGTTACCATATAAAGCAATATGCTTCTCCGTTCACATTGTCAAGTTTATTAATGTAAGGATGGCTCATGGGTAAACTCTAGGAAGCCTCAAGAAACCTAGAAAGAGCCGAAGACATTCCATCTAATCACCACTAGGGGGACATTCTAGAATGTCCACGTGTAGCTTCCCTATTCGATGGATAAGAATGACCCCCTATGTGCCTATTGGCTGTCCAAAATGATTATGATTTACTTTCAGTCAAAAAAAAACTATAAATATATGAGATTTTTGTACCATATTTAGACACTGTTTTGGGAGAATAAAATTCCTACTCACTAGTCTTTTGTCTTTTCTCTTGGGATGTTGCAGGTTCGATCGTTCAAGTAGTCTAGTAGTACGTGGCATAGCAAGAATCTAATTCTCTAGATATAACAATTTAGCACATTAATTCACTTATATTTTCATTGTTTTGATTATGTATTCTAATTAGATGAACTTTGGTATTCACACATTGTATCAAATTGTTGAAAATATTTCCGATTAAAAACATGAAGTATTATTAGTAAAGCAAGTTGTCACAAAGCGGAGTTAACTCATTGATATCCCTGTTGTCAATCATCAACCTATCTAATTTAATAAGAACTCAATTATGAATAAAATGATGGATACATACAATTAACTTGTCCATATCAAAATAGAGACGACGATGGAATTACAAGAATTTTCCGTATGCTAAATCATGACTATTAACATCATTACTTAGAGCTAATAACATGAATGGACATTAATAAAAGGCGATATTAATTTGATTCCATTTAGTCTACATCATATTAATTATCATTTATTACATCTGTAAGTAATTTTAACCAAATTATGTAACTGAAAATAATAACATATGACTGAAATTCATCACGTTTCAGGTAATAAACTACGTATGCCTAAATACCGTTTACCACGACGCCCAATGTTGATTAGTATTGGGGATGGTTGGAAGAGAGTTAGGGGTGGCCAAACAAAAACGTGGCATCATTGCTTGAAGTCACTAACTTCTAGTCTGAGCCATGTTCGCAGATACAGACTACTTGGTTGGGGTCCGCGTGACTATCGTAACCAATGGTTGGAGACTCTAGGTGACATGGTTCAGAATCGATCACAATGGCGTAGGTGTATACATTATTTATCTTCCCTTAAACCTTGAGATTTAAGTTCCTTCATGTCTGTCTTTCTTTCTGTACTATATCCTTATATACAACCTTTCTTTTATATATTACCACCAGTATATCAACTACCTCTATGAATTCGGTGTTCATCTTGTTGTGGTGACGAGATATGGCAACTTGGACCGATGCATATATGTGCTTGGTCCTACGTTGTAGCTGACTGACTGAATAAGCTACAAACAACATGAAATACTGTAAGTCTGATTGTTTAATCATAAAGCTTTCATTGTTCTTCTGAACAATATCATCAACACAAACTTTGGATAGAAGTAATGTGTTCCAATTTCTACACATATTACTCTTAGCTTGTCCTGTCGACCTCAATTTTGATTAGTTGCTTTTGAGCTTTAACTTATGATTATATGCCTCCTTATTTGGATTACATCTTCTTTGAGATCTGATTTCCGATCCTGTATTTGTTCATTATTCACCTGAGCTAAAAATCATCTTTACTATCTCGACATGAAATGCTTATCCTTCAGTCTGTTATTGTCCCTCCTATACGAATAAATAATCCACTATTGTTATTCCTAATGCCAAGTTCAAACTTGATAGGTTCAAATAAATTGAGCATTGAGTAAAACTTACTTACGCCTTTTACCCCTCGTAGACGAACATAGACCGCACACCAGCATTCTGCATCCATTCCTTTCCTGGGTAAGACTTTCCAGTTAACATTCATTCTTTTCATATCTGCTTGTTTCCCGGAGTAGTGTGAAAGAGCATCGGCCTCGTGACTTCTGAAAAATTTCGGCTTTCATCATGAGGTATCATAATTATTCCTTCAACTCCCAGAGTAGAGTTTAAATGGTTTGAATTATTTTTTCTGGTTATCGTTTTTTTAACGAGTTAATTTTGTACGAGATGAGGTCGCCATCCCCATGCCGAACCATCCTCCTTTACCTGGGCTTGGGACCGGCAGTAACTCTAGAAGAGCTAAAGGCTGAGTTATTAAGTAAAAAGTTAATAATAAATATATTTTTGTTATATTAAAATGACTACAAAAATTGTGTGTTTCTGATATTTTGTGATTTAATGTAAGCCACTTATTCTGAGTAAATAAATAATCAAGGATAAATAAAGTTACATATGGTTGTTTGGATCTCAATCTACACACACATGCACACACACACACATCCAATTTCAACTCCACTACTTCATATTCAAAATGGATACATTTTTCATACTTACATTCTAATGCATAAATTAATACAATGACAGGTC